TTACATCCTATGGATGAGTGTGTGTGGGTTTGCATAGATGGGATTAAGCACATGCATTTAGATGAGCTAGATGAGTACCTAGGGGGAAGAAGGGCTTATAAAAAGATAACAATTCATGCTGTGGAACTCTGCAGCTTTTCTGTACTCCCCCAGAGCAGTTTTGAGAGGAGGAGCTTGCCCGTTGGAAACATCAGCAAGCTGTGTTCTCAGGTGCTGTTGCTGACAATTTTATGAGAATGCCATTATAGGCAACGAGAGTCTAGACAAGAATGATACTCAGGACTTTTTTTTTTTTTTAATGAAAGAAAGAAATGGGATAGAAACTAAAGACAGGATTTCATTTAGATGCCAACACTTCACTTATCTCCACTGTCAACGCCAACGAGTGGGCGGGCAGGGGGAGGGGTGAAGGAAGCAACACCTTGATGTGGGTTTTAAAACAGCAACAAAACAAGGGCAAAAAACCAAATTTACATGAATGTTTAGATGTTTTATGAATATTTTGTGAAGCTATATCTTTAGCTTTTGTGAGAAAATTATGGAAAAGGATATACAAGATTTTAGCATTTTTATGAAGATATAACGATTTGCTAGTGAAGGTTAGAGGGAAACTGAAAGAATTCCAGATTGTTCTGTCAGGATTTTGGAATAATATAATGATAGATGAAATTTAAACTCAACAGAAGCAAGGAGATGCTGCAGAAGCCGAGATTTTCAATAACTATGTTTATACATTGTGACAGCTTATAAATTAAAAACCTAGCAACTCTTAGGAAATACACTCAGCCATCAGTATAGAAAATATAAGAAAGGTGACAGCTGTATAAAAAGGGGAGTTTGGGCTCAATGCAATATTGACAATGAAAGGGGAAGTAATTTTAAAGGTAGAATTTTAATGATTATTTGGTTAGTTTGCATGTCACATATTGAAAAGTCATTATGGACTGAACATTTGTTTCCTCCCAAAATTCATATGTTGAAATCCTACTCCCCAATGTGATGGTATCAGGTGGGACCTTTGGGAAGTAATTAGGTGATAAGGGCAGAGCCCTCATGAATGGTAGTGCCCTCATAAAAGAGACCCCAGAGGGCTCATTCACTGCTTTCTGCCATGTGAGAACACAGAGAGATGCTATTTATAAACCAAGTGGGTCCTCACCAAACCCCGAATCTACTGGCATCTTGATCTTATACTTCTTACCCCCCAGAATTGTGATAAATCAATGTTTATTGTTACGCCATCGTCTATGGTATTTTTATTATAGCATCCTGAAGGCACTAAAACAAAACAAAAGCAAAGAGCAGAAGTTTCTGTGAAATATAAGTGAGCTAGGTAAGGGCTGGTAAGAGTGTAGGTGGTAAATTATATTGACTGGTGATTCAAATAAAAATAAAACCATTCTTTTTGAAACCTTTGTGTAGTTAATTAATGTGGAATGTTACTTAAAAGAGCCAAGACAGAATATGTAAGCTAAACTGATTAGAATATTGAAGGGGAAAAAAATGAGAAAAGTCAGAGTTAAAAAGTTAAAATGAGAAAAGTCAAAAGTATCTTGGGAAATGTAGTATCTTAAAGAATTTTTAAGAGGCTTTGAGACAATTCTAAACCTCAAAACCAAAAACTGAGACATTTCAATATAGTCATGTATGATCTTGGACAAGTTGTCTGGGACTTTTCCCAGGCTCTATTTCCTCTTCTGCATTGAAGGGTGAACAAATGGTTTCTTAGATGCCTTCTAGCTACGAATTATTTTTCTTTTATCTGAGATTATGTCTAGTAGTACTCCCTCGTCCTCGGGGAAAACGTTCCAAGACCCCCAGTGACTGTCTGAAACCTGAGATAGTACTGGATTCTGTATATATACTATGTTATTTTGATCTGGTAACAGAGATGGCTACTGAATGTCTAATGGGTGGGTAGCATATACAGTGTGCATAGCTGGATAAAAGGATGATTCAAGTTCTGGGTGGGGCAGAGAGAGATTTCATCATGCTACTCAGAATGGCGTGCAACTTAAAACTTACAAATTGTTTATTTCTGGAATTTTCCATTTAATATTTTTAGACCTCCACTGACTGCGGCTAACAGAAACCAAGGGAAGTAAAACTGAGAATAAGGGGGAATCACTATACTAAAGTAAGGTTGAGGAAGTTTTCTCATCCATTGTCTTTTTTTTTTTTTTTTTTGAAACAGGGTCTCATTCTGTCACCTGTTGCCCTGGCTAGAGCGCAGTGCCATCATCAGAGCTCATTGCAACCTCAAACTCTGGGCTCAAGCCATGCTCCTGCCTCAGACTCCCAAGTCATGGGACTATAGGCACTGGCCATGACGCCCAGCTAATTTTTCTATTTACTGTAGAGAGTAGGGGGGAGTGAGGGCGTCTCACTCTTGCTCAGGCTGGTTTTGAACTCTTGGCCTTAAGCAATCCTCTGACCTGGGCTTCCCAGAGTGCTAGGAGTGGGAGGTTGTGCGGGTCACTGTGGGTCCAATACACAGTGATCTCCCAGAGGCAGGACAGTGTGAGGTCCATCCTTGCGTCGCATGTTTCTGCCCAAGCTGTGGCCCTGAGTAGGTGCTCAAGGGTTATTACTGAATGAATGAAGGAATTGATGAATGACTGAACCAACCTTCCTCGCTTCCTTCTGAGGAGAGAACTGGGTGAGCCAACACACCTGGCACCATTTTCTTAACTATTAAATAATATTGCTTTGTGGCCTAGATATTATTATTTTCCACTTTTCTTCTGACTCAATAGATTATTTTGCATATCCCAGGCAAAGGAGAACCTCCAAAACGTTGATCATAGTGAAAGTGCTATAAACATTGGCCCATTCTAAAGATTTCTTTTCCCACTTAAATTTTTTGTTGTTGTTGAATGTGTAGGGGTAAGAATATGGGCATACTAATCAGATAAACCTGGGTTCGAAACATAACTATTATATTACCTACCAGCCAATTACATTAGCAACTGAGTTTCCTTATCTGGAAAAAAAAGGGCTAATTCCCACCTTGAAGAATAAGAGTATTATTCAGCACTCAGATCAATATATTTTGAGGTCTTTGTTCCTTTTCTTTTTATTTATAATCCGCTAGGGTCTAACTAAAAAAGAAAATAGATTTGATTATTTTTAGCATCTTAAATTGAAGAAATCACTGCTGGCTTCCAATAAAACCTTTAAACAAAATGGAATGACGCAAGTCTCACGAATAATAAAAATCAGCCACTCTGACAGGGTTTGAATACTAGGGGGAATTTTAGGCAATAGGTACTAAATCAACATACACCTCCAGGATTCTTCTGCAGAACATTGTAACAGGCCATGTCTTTGCTTATGTGTAAGATTTCCAGAGTGCCATGGGAAAATTAACCCTCATTTCAATATATTAGGCTTTGAAGTCTAAATATAAAGGCAGACGGGGTCTATTTTCAGAGCTGAGAGGCCTGTTTCTAGACGCCGGAGTGTGAGGACTGTTAATCGGAATGGCTTTCACCCCCCTGGAGGCCCCGTCCCCAGGGCCCCAAGCTCCTCCTTGGTGCCAGGGTCTAAGGCATCCCTCCCTCCCATCCTCATCCCATCCGGCTGTTTCTCCTTTTCCATTTTCGCTTTCTCTCATAAGTGGTCAAAATAGGAAACGCAAGCATGCATTTGTTGTTTGGGGTAGTGCTCGAGAAGGTTTTTTTAATTAAAAAAAAAAATTCCCTGTCTAGGTTCTTCATTTCGCTTTGAGTCCGAACATCCACCGGCCCACTAGTCCTCGTAACAAAAGAAGCCCCCGCCAAATTGCCGCTGACACTGCGAGGAGGCTGGGTCTGTCGCGGGGCTCAGAGTCTCCTGCGGCAAGAAAGATCCGCGAGCGAGCGGGCTCGGGATCCCGGGAGCGCGAGCAGCGCCGCCCCCCGCACGGCGGGGAGGAGCGGGAGCGGCGGCGGTCCCTGCCCGGCGCGGAGAGCCGGCCCGGGAGCGCGAGGGCGCGGGCAGCGGCCAGAGGCGGCGGCGGCGGCGGGGACGCGGGGCCGGAGCAGGGGACACCGAGGGGACTTCAACGCGGCCGCGAGGCGGGGGCGCCGTCGCTCACCGGCCCATGCCGAGCCCCCGAGCCCCGTGGAGGAAGCGGGACCGTCCGCGGCGGGACAGGTAAGGGGCCGTCTGGGGGCGCAGCGGGAGCGCAGAGCTGGGCGCGGAGCGGGAGTAAGCTGGGGAGGACAACCGGAGTCCTCTCAGGGAAGGGGTCTCTGACTCTCTACTGGCTGCACCTTGTCAACCTGCACCCCTCACCCTGCAGGTTGGGCATGCAGGGAGGGGCCTGAGGGACTGAGGTCAAGACAGGCACCTGGGCACAGTTGCCTCACACCAACAGGCCTTGACCCTGAACTCAGGCAGCTCTGAGATACCCTGCCTGCTGGCTGCAAGGAACACTGATTAGAGTCTCCCAGACTCCCTTGGACCCTGATCCCACCAAGGTTCTGCAACACTAGCAAAATCTGAGCGGGCTTCACTAAGCTGCCCTATTCTCCCACCCAAACCTGCTCAGCAGGGTGACCTGGGTGGCTATGGTCCCCCAACTCTGAGATTTCTTTCCCCTGGAAATGGCCATTGGGCCAATGTGCGCGACCGCGCGGGACTCCCTGCGGGAGGCGCCGCGGCCCCGAAGGACGCCGCCCGGACGCGCGGGCCGGGCGCGGCTGGCAGCACCGCAGCCCGCGGCGGCGCGCGGCGCCGGAGTGCCCGGCGCGCGCGGCGGCGGCGGCGGCGGCAGAAGTTGCGGAGTGCGCCCGCCCCTCGCGCCCGCAGCCGCCGCTCCCCTGCGGCAGCCGCGCCGCGTCCCCGCCGCCGCCGCCTCTGGCCGCTGCCGCGCCCTCGCGCTCCCGGGCCGGCTCTCGCGCCGGGCAGGGACCCGCGCCGCTCCCGTCCCCGCCGGTCGGGGGGCGGCGCTGCTCGCGCTCCGGGATCCCGAGCCGCTCGCTCTCGGATCTTTCTTGC